AGGCACTTGGCTAAGTCCTCACTGACTGAGCCTGGCCATACGACGCTTTGGCCAACATGACAGTAGCAAATATGGCCCAGGGAGACTTCGAAAGCACTTGCACACTGGGACCTGCCCTCCTGCTACTCTCGTAACTCTTAGAAGGCCCACTTGGGCCAAGTTGTTGGACAATGAGATACTCATAACCAGACACACTCACCCACACACAGCCAACTACCAACCCCAGGCAGTAGAGCTAAAAGGAGCCCAGCAGTTAATTTCAGGCACATGTGCGAGCACACCCAAGTGCAGCCACACTGCAAAACGGTGAGTTGAATGCATGATGGCTGTTTTCAGCCACAGTTGTACTATCCAGTACAAACTGACAGATACAAATACACACTCCTGATGTTCTTTTTAAAATCTAGGAATGGGCATTGTGGTACAGCCGGTTAAGCAGCCACTTGTGATCATCACATCCCATACCTGAGTGCCAGCTCTAGTTTAGGCTGCTGTGTATCCAATCCAGCTTTCTGCTACTGTATTCTGGGAGGCAGTAGGTGAATGTCCAAGTACTTGTGTCCCTACCCCTACACAGGAGACTAGGTGGATTTGGGCTCCTGGTTTCATCATGGTCCTGCCCTAGCTACCCTAGGCGGGGGGGCGGGGGGGTGGGGGGGTGGGGGGGGGGGGGGGTGGAGAATACAACAGCAGATGAAAGCTCTCTCTCTTGCATTTGCTCCACCTTTGAGTAGATGAAAATAAAATGTAAAAAAAATATCCAAGGGGACCAGCGCTGAGGAGTGGGGGGTAAAGCTGCTGCCCATGAGTGCCTGGAACCCATACGGATGGCGGTTCAATTACCGTGCGGCTCCACTTTTGATCCGGCTCTCTGCTATGAACTGGGAGAGCAGCAGAAGATGGCCCAGGTCCTTAGGCCCCTGTATTCATGTGGGAGACCCAGAAGAAACTCCTGGCTTCAGATTGGCTCAGTTCTGGCTGTTGTAGCCATTGGGGAGTGAACCAACAGATGGAAGACCTTTCTCTCTCTGCCTCTTCCTCTGCCTCTCTGTAATCCTTTCAAATAAATAAATCTTAAATACATATACATACACATACACACACACACACACACACACACAGAGCTCACAACACTGGGACCACATTCCTACATGGCAAGCATGTTTCTGTTTGTCACTCTACCACCACACCCATGAGAGGATCAAGTTCAGCTGCCATATGTCATCTCAGTTGGCTGTTACTTATGGTAAAGTAAAATACCATGTTCCACCAACTCAATTTACTACCTGAGAAAACCAATACAACCCATTTGGAAAATTGTTTGCCAATATCTACCAAGGGAGATACATGCTGCAATCCAGCAACTCTAAGTTAATACCTAAGAAAAATGTGCACACTTGTTCCAAAAGATGAACACAATGCTCACAGGGGCCCTATTCCTGATAGCCCCAAACTGGTCATTAACTAGTTATCTATAATGTCCACCACACAACTACTGATGACTAAACAAAATGTGGTATCATTAGAGAATTCAATCTCACACACAAGGCTTTGCACAAGAACCCAGACACAGGAGTTTAGGACATGATCCCATTTACACAGTTCAAAACAGACGAACTGTGCTAGAAAGCAGGCTGGAGGTTACCCTGAGGTGGAAGAGAACATGTGGAGGTGAAGGGCGGTGCTGTTCTGGGATCTGGGTATGCTTACATGGATGTACACACGCCTGAAAACTTGTTGAGTAGTACATTTATGATCTGTACACTTCAGTTCAAAGTTTGATTTAAAAAAAACTTGGGGGTCGGTGCCGTGGCTCACTTGGCTAATCCTCCGCCTTGTGGCTCTGGCATCCCATATGGGGCCGGGTTCTAGTCCCAGCTGCTCCTCTTCCAGTCCAGCGCTCTGCTGTGGCCCAGGAAGGCAGTGGAGGATGGCCCAAGTGCTTGGGTCCGGCACCCCATGGGAGACCAGGAGAAGCACCTGGCTCCTGGCTTTGGATCGGTGCAGCACCAGCCATAGCAGCCCTTTGGGGAGTGAACCAACAGAAGGAAGACCTTTTCTCTCTGTCTCTCTCTCTCATTATGTATGACTTTACCTGTCCAAAAAAAAAAAAAAAAAAACACTTTAAGTGGAAAAACAAGAACAAGATGGCCATATTCCCAGAAGACAATTCCTACACTACCCAACGTGCTTAATATTAATGTGACAGAAAAAAACGATTGCCCCTATGAAACACAGCATTACAGAGCTGTGACTGGGCCTGGAAAAGATGCAGAACCAAGCACCTGTGGAGCCGGGAGAAAACCAAGTGCACAGCACCGTGCCTGCTTCATTGTTTACACTGCAGTCTCAGCCCCATGGGCAGTGGGGCTTATCAGCACTGACACAGGAATCTAGCTCTTCGCTACAAATGTTATTTCTCACAGTGACCCTACTGGGTGGGTTTCCTGTCCCTTAAAAATCAGTTACTTTCCTAATGTTCATCAACCTTGGGGTTGAAAACAGCCACTGCAGAGGCCCATTGGGAATGCTGCAGAATATGTCTCTGAATCCCTGGAACAGCACCCAAGAGATGGTAAGTAATCACACAATGAATTATCACTTTATTGACAGTAGTGTTACTCAAGGTTGTAAGGTAGTGCGTGTTTGTGCTTAAAGGAAACTTGCTGTATGAGACACTCCTTTTTTATTTTTTTACGTTTATTTTCATCTATTTGAAAGGTTGGTGGAGACAAAGCGATCACTGGTTCATTCCTCAAACACCCCCAACAGCCAGGGCTGGGCCAGGCTGAAGCCAGGAGTCCAGAAATCTGGGTCTCCCACATGGGTGGGAGGGGCTCACACACTTGAGCCACCATCCACTGCCTCCCAGGATGCACTAGCTGGAAGCTGGATCAGAAATGGAGTGGCGGGGACTGCAACCGGCAGTGTGCTACGGCATACTACAATATGAGCACGGCAGGTGGTGGCAGAACCCACTGCGTGACAACATCCACCCTGCAAGGTATTCTCAAACATCACGGGTGCCAAGACTGGCTGCAGCACCCAGTGGCACCTGACGTGATGCTTCAGAGGGGGCAGAGCACCCACAGGCATGTGCTGCAGGCTTCTGCATGCGACCCAGGGCACTCGATTCTGATGGGCTCCCTGGAGAGGGACCTTTTGTTTTCAGAATATTCGATTTGCTTCTCCATTATTTTTTGTCTACTGCCTATCCCTCAGAAGTGTCATGGCTGAAAGGCCTTGCGAACATGGTCCTCTGACCAAATCTCACACTTGCCCCACTGCAGGCCCCACCGTCTGAGCCCTCCCTCTGCACACTGACTGAGCAGTCTGGCCAAGGCCCAAACCTGCACTTAGCAAGGTCTCAGGTGATTCACACGCCTGGGGAGAGTGGAAGTCCAAAAGACTTGGATTCGAATCCAACCCCCCCAAGTTTATCCACTGAGTAACCCCAGAAAAATGATAAGAAACTCGTTTTTCTTCATTTGTGAAAGGCGAGTTAACAGCTAGCTCACAGAATTAGAAGCGGGGCACAGGACCAGACACTTGGTAAAATTCAAAAAGTGGCTATTAATGTTACTTGAGTAAAAAACTACATGCTACATAAAATGTCATTACTTTTTGAAACAACTTTCAGTTACAGAATCACTGCCAATTGGAAAACTGTAAGGATCAGGGCCAGCGTCGTGGTACAGTGGGTTAAGTCGCTGCCTGCAATGCTGGCATCTCATACAAGCGCCAGCTGCTCCACTTCTGATGCAGCTCCCTGCCAATGCACCTGGGGAAACAGCGGAAGGCGGCCCCAGTACCTGGCTCCTGCACTCACGTTTGAGACTCAGAGGGAGTTCCAAGCTCCAGGCTTCAGCTCGCTCCCCGTAGGGCTCTTGGGGAGTGAACCAGCAGGTGGAAGATCTGGGCCCCCCCCACCCCCAACCCCTTCTCTCTGTAACTCTACCTTTCAAAGAATTCAGTCTTTACAAAAAAACACCTGTAGGGGCTGGCACTGTGGTTAAGCCACCGTTTGCGGCACCAGCATCCCATATGGGCACCTGTTCGAGTCCCGGTTGCTCCACTTAGGATCCAGCTTCCTGTTGATGCACCTGAAAAGGCAGTGGGAGACGGCCCGCCCAGGTCCTTGGGTTCCTGCGCTCACGTGGGAGAATCAGATGAGGCTCCCAGCTTTGGCCCGGCCCAGCCATCTGGGGAATGAACCAGCAGATGGAGGACCCACCGACCTCTCTCTCTGTTTCTCCCTCTCACTGTATCTCTGCCTTTCAAATAAATAAAATGAATCTTAAAAAAAAAAAAAGTGATTTCCTTTGAGCCTGGTTATAGCAAACCAAACTGTCTTAACTCTGAACGTGGGAGGGAGCTGTGGATGCGTCTCAGGTGATCCTGATTCTGCCAGCTTGGAGAAGGAGGCTTTTTTAACCAAGACTCCCAAACTCCCTCCTGCTTCTCCAAGCGATCTCCGCCCCCCCCCCCAAAAAATTTAAAAAAAAAAATATTAAGACTCTTCATTCTTACAGCAGCCAGCGGCACCGCTAAGACTCCTCTTCCTTTTTTCCCCTCCTTTTAAGTGACACAGGAAAATTATGTAGTCAACAGTACACCAAAGAAGTTAAAACTCCTGCTTGTCCATTTCTCGCGTCCTCTTGCTCAAAGTTCAGGATTTCTCAACCGCACACTTGTTGATGTTTGGGGCCGGTGTGCGTTGGGGCAGCCGTCCTGAGCACTGCGAGACAGTCGCGCGCGCGCGCACACACACACACACACACACGCACACAGTCCCCGGCTGACCACCCCAGAACGCCAGGCACCGCCGAAACGGGGGGGGGGGGGGGAAGCCGGATCCCGAGGCACTTTCCACGCGCTGCTACTCGATGTTTCCCCCACGACCGGGAGCACGCCGAGTTCTTCCGCCACTCGTGGCGGGGGCGGGGGCGGGTCGGGGGGCGGGCCCGCGCCGGGCCTGGGCAGCTGGCGACGCCACTCACCAGGTCGCGGATGAGCTGCTCCACCAGTGCCTCGCCGCCCCCAGCGCCCTCGCGGGACGGAGGGGAGCGGGAACGGCTCGCTGCGTCCGACCTCTCAGCCCGCGTCGCCCGCGCCCCGGGGGGCCTCCCCGCGCCCTCCAGGAGGCCCTGGGCCAGCGCCAGGTATCCCGAGGCCTGCTCGCCGCGCCCGGGGTTCACCTCGGGCCGCCGGGGCCGCCGCTCCGCGGCCTCGGGCCGCCGCCGCTTCCTCAGCGCCTGAGCCTGCGCCAGCTCCTCCTGCCAGCGCCGTCGGAACTCCTCCAGGCTGCGGTCATCCATCGTCGCAGCTCCGGAGCCTCCGCGTCCCCCGCCGCCGCCCCCAGCTGCCACGGGACAGTCCCTCGGCTGGAAGTGTCCGCCACAGTCGGAAACCGCCGGGGCGTCGCTTTTGAGTTCCGGATGGGTGGCCACGCCCCCTCGCCGCGCCACGCCCCTTCATGCTGCGCAGGCGCGCACGTGGCTGCTCGGCTTGCGGCTCCTCAGGTGCGCGCGCCGGCTCGAGGGGCGCGCCGGTGTTTTGCCGAGCGAGGACTTTGTGCCCAGCCGATGTTCCATAATTGAGCAAACTTGCATATAAGGCTGTAAAAGCGAAACAAAACCTCTTGGAGTTGACATTCAGGAGGGCGGGGAGCCCGGGAGGGGGTCATGGAGGAATCAGGGGCGGCCATGAGGGGTTGAGAGGAGTGAGGAGGCGTCGTCGGAACTGGAGAGCTGGCTGGGGAGAGAGCAGCCAAAGCATGGGGCCTGGGCTGGCGTTTGGCCCGCATCCCACAGGGGAGCGCATCCTGGGAGGCAGCCACCATGGCTCCGGGACTTGGGTCCCTACCGCCCACGGGGGAGACCTGGATGGGGCTCCTGATGCCTGGCTCTCGCCTAGCCCAACCCTGGCCGGTTCAGCCATTTAGGGGGCGAACCAGCAGATGTGGTTTAAAAAAAAAAGGGAGGATGTAAGATGGGGCATAAGTGTCCAATACAAGTACATTTTTTTCTCTGAAGGTATTCATTGTGCGCAGAGTGTGTATGGGGGGGTGTTCAGTCCTTTTCGACAGCTACTTTCCTCCTTGGGGTTCAGCTCCTCAGTTTCCTGTTGGTACACATGTGTCTTCCCCTTTTTCTTGATGCACCTGATAGCCCTGTTGACCTTGGAGACCTCCAAGGTGTACCTCCAATAAGGTACAAAGCCACACACTTCTGGGACCATGTCCTGGTGAGGCTGTACCTCAGCTTGCTCAAGTTCGTGGTCACTTTGTGCCCTTCGTGGAGTCCCACGGACATAGCCTAACACAGACCTTTGGCCACTGGTCTTCAGTGTCTGCTGCCAAAGAAATATGTATTTTCATAATGATAATTAAAATAATAACCTATTTCCCCAAAAACCTTCAGCAAACATCTCACCTTATCCTGGATATCTTCCCTATGGAATTCCAAGGATTGGTCAAGCTTGCTTTATCAACTTGAGCCAAAAGCCAAGCCTAGCATTCATACAATTGCCCGTTTTGAGTCCCTGTTCTACTTCTGATCCAGCTTTCTGCTAATGTGCTTGGAAGGCAGTGAGTGATGGCTCAAGTACTTGAATCCCTGCCGCCCACATAGAAGACCCAGATGGAGTTCCTGGTTCCGATTTCTAGCCTGGCCCAGACTTGGCTGTTGCGGTCATTTGGGAAGTGAGCTAGAGGATGGAAGATATTTTCTCCCCCCCCCCAACTCTGCCTTTCAAGTATGAATAAAAGATAACTTGAAAGGCAGAGTTGGAGAGATACAGATCTTCCATCAGCTGGTTCACTCCCCAAATGGGAGCAACAGCTGGAACTGGGCCAGACGGAAGCCAGGAGCCAGGAGCCGCTTCTTGATGTCTCACGTGAGTGCAGGGGCCCAAGCACTTGGGCCTTCCTCTGCTGTTTTCCCAGGTGTATTAGCAGGGAGCTGAATCAGAAGTGGAACAGCTGGGTCTTGAGCCAGCACTCATATGGGATGCTGACACTGCAGGTGGCAGCTTTCTCTGCGCCAGCCCCAAAAATAAATCTTTAAAAAAATAAAAATAAAATGACCATCAGGCTATAGGTATTAGGCAAATAGGAAACATAAATGAATTTTGTGTTTAGACTTCGGTCTCCTCCCCAAGCCATCTCATCATCTCCTGTAAATGCCCAAAATCTCAAACATGTCCAGCTCCAAGCATTTTAGATAAGAGATGCTTTTTTAAATTTTATTTTAATTTTTTTAATTTTTAATTTTTTTACAGGCAGAGTTAGTGAGAGAGAGAGACACCATTAGTTCACTCCCCAAATGGCCGCTACGGCCAACGCGTTGCGCTGATCCAAAGCCAGGAGCCAGGTGCTTCCTCCTGGTCTCCCATGCGGGTGCAGGGCCCAAGCACTTGGGCCATCCTCCACCGCCTTCCCGGGCCACAGCAGTTGAGGAGGAGCAACCGGGACAGAACCAGTGCCCCAACCAGGACTAGAACCCAGAGTGCCGGCAACGCAGGTGGAGGATTAGCCTAGTGAGCTGCAGCACTGGCCCGAGATAAGAGATGCTTAACATGTACTCTGCTCCACCCAACTGTTGGATCCTAGCCCACATCTCCCAAAAATCAATCTCTCTCTCTTGAGTTATGACCAACAAAAACCATATTTTAAAGAATAAAGATTTTTTAAAAAATTTTTTGACAGGCAGGGTGGACAGTGAGAGAGAGAAACAGAGAGAAAGTTCTTCCTTTTTGCCGTTGGTTCACCCTCCAATGGCCACTGAGGCCGGCGCACTGCACTGATCCGAAGCCAGGAGCCAGGTGCTTCCTCCTGGTCTCCCATGGGGTGCAGGGCCCAAGCACTTGGGCCATCCTCCACTGCACTGCCTGGCCACAGCAGAGAGCTGGCCTGGAAGAGGGGCAACCGGGACAGAATCAGGCGCCCCGACCGGGACTAGAACCTGGTGTGCTGGTGCCGCAGGTGGAGGATTAGCCTATTGAGCCAGCCCCCTGCAGCTTCTTAAAGTGTGTGCTCCTGGGAGTTCATGCTTGAACAATCCATAACTTCAGACAAACTCCTTTCCCCTGACATGAATGCCTCCTGCAAAGCAAGAGCTAGTTCCCATTGCTGGTTCACTGCTCAAATACCCACCACAGCCAGGGCTGGAAAAGGGTCAGAAACGATACAAGAAGTGGTGATGCTTTCAAAGTACACTGTTTAGAAACATGAACAGAAACAGGAGACTGATACAAGTGACCATTTGGAAGATCAACACAACACTGGTACATCTGTGGCTGTAGGCATTTTTGCTGTGTTGCTTTGCATGTCTTCTTGTGAACAATATACAAAATTTCTATGAAAAAAAAAAAGCAACTTTGGGCCTGATTTGAAAAATGAAAAAACTATCTGTAGCTAGAAACAATTTGCTTGTTCTTGAGAACTCTCCCATCAATAATTCTGTTTTTTAAAAATGCTACACAGACGGGATTTTGTGTCAGCTGCCACTTAGAGACTTAGTCATTCACAAGGAGGTGGTTCCATATGGACCCCGCTCCTCACCCCTCTCTCCCTCCTCAGCCCCCTCCTGCTCTGATGGAAGCCCCCTCCCTTTTAATCTCCCCAACCTGGCTCCGAATCCCCTCTCCCTGAAGGTGTCACCCTCCCCGCAGACAAGGAGCACGGTCTGTCCTTGGATTGCCTGTTATTTCTCTCGAGAATTCAGCTCCAGCCTGGCGCTCCCCAGGCACTCTTTGTTCAGGCCCCTGTGGCACAGAACGGAGAGGCAATGGCTTTGGCCTTCATCGTGCATACTCACCCCCCAGCGTGTACTCTGGGACTGCAGGAGCCGATGTCCTCACCTGTTCTGTCTAAGAAGTAAAGCACCAGGTGCAGTGCTGCTGGAGCCCCAGCTGCTCCACTTCTGATCCAGCTCCCTGCTGACGCACCTGGGAAAGCAGAAGATGGTTAGTGAAGTGGTGCCGTCTTACCTAGCTCTGGTCCCATCACCATCTTGTACAGTAACTTCGGCCTCTCCAGAACCCAGCCTGGCTTACTAGGAGTCAGATGACCAAATGGCCGGACCACAAACATCAACTCCACCCCCACCCTAACGGCATTTGCTGCTCCTACGTCCCTACCCCTGCAAGGCTGTAACAAGACCTGCTTTCCCACACCTCCCTCTCTCTCTCTCTCTCTTCATTATCCACCCCATCCGCTGCCCCCAACATTAACCTTTTCCCTCACTCCAGAGTTTGGTGTGTTTGGTGGTGGCCTTTCAAAGATGGAGTTCCAGCACCTGGTTTTGGCCTGGCCCAGCCCTGCTCCTTGCAGCCATTTAAGGAGTGAACCAGATGGGGTTCCAGCACCTGGTTTTGGCCTGGCCCAGCCCTGCTCCTTGCAGCCATTTAAGGAGTGAACCATTTAGCGGCTGGGAGACCTCTCTGTCTCTCTGTCTTTCAAATAAATAAAATAAATTTTTTTTTTTTAAGTACTGCTTCTGAGAGCAGGTGTTTAGCCTAGCAGCTAAGATGCACACATCCCACAGCAGAGTGCCTGAGTACAAACCCAGCTCTGGCTCCTGACTCCGGATTCCTGTCTGTGCAGGCTTGGGAGGCAGGTGATGGCTCAGGAGATGTGGTCCTGGATTGTGGTCCAGCCCCCAGCTTCAGCCAGAATCCAGGCCTGGCCATTTGGGGAGTTAACCAGCAACAGGGAGCTCTCTCTCTTTCTCTCTCTCGCTCTCTCTCTCTCTCCCTGCCTCCCTCCCTCCCTCAAATAAATAAAATGTTTTTAAAAAGAACATTGTTTCTATAAACATTCATGTAGTTTTTTGTGTACCCTCTGTTTTCATTTCTTTTCTGTATACTTACAAGTAGAATTGCTGGGTTAGATAACGTTTAATCACTTACTTACTCAAAGAACAATCACATTGTCTTCAAATGGCTACATCCACTAGATGTGGATGAGGGTAACATCTTCCCTCTCAAAACCTTCTAGGGGCTGGCGCTGTGGTGCAGTGGGTAAAGCCACCACTTGCAGCACTGGCATCCCATAGGGGCACCAGTTTGAGTCCTGGCTGCTCGACTTCTGCTCCAGCTCCCTGCTATGGCCTGGGAAAACAGTAGAAGATGGCCCAAGTGCTTGGGCCCCTGCACCCACGTGGGAGACCTGGAAGAAGCTCCTGGCTCCTGGTTTCAGATTGGCACAGCCTCAGCCATTGCATCCAACTGGGGAATGAACCAGTGGATAAAAGACCTCTCCCTCCCTCTGTCTCTCTGCCTCTGCCTCTCAAATTAATAAATAAATCTTAAAAAAAAAAAAAACCTTCTGTGGCCTAGAGAAGCTAAGCCCTTTTCCACTTGATGGCCTTCACACGCACTGCCCTCTTTCTTCATCACTCTCCAGGGAGGCTCTGGGTTCAGCTGTGACCCCAGG